TAGGAAAAGATGACAAGCTCCGTCCAATAGCTTTCTATTCTAAGAAATTCTCAATAGCCATGATTAACTATGAAATCTACAACAAAGAACTTCTTATAATTATGGATTCTTTTTAAGAATAGCATCATTATCTAGAAGCCGTTTCTAATCTAGTCACAATATATACAAATTACAAGAACCTCAAGTATTTCATATTAGCACATGTTTTCAATTATTGCCAGGCTTGTTGGAGCATGTCTTTGTCAAGATTCAAATTTAATATCACTTATTAGACATGAAAATAATAAGATTTGTCTAATGTTCTTTTTAGAAGTTTTTTTCTTATATCTAAAGAAAGAAATATAACTTTTAATCAAAAAAATATAATTTTATTGAAGTCATAATAATTTCATCTTCAAGCCGTAAAATCAATATTAAATATTGATTCAATTTTTTTAAACAAATTCAATCAAGTATATACTTTGATTCTCTTATTTATGATATCAAGCATACTTCTTTTTAGCCTCATGATACTTCTAAGTTTGAGTTTAAGAACAACCTATTTTATTTCAAAGGATGCTTATATGTTCAAGAAAGAGAAGTATGTTTACATGTTTTTCAAGCATGTCATGACTTTCCAATGGCACGACATTTTGGATACATCAAGACTTTGAAGCTAATATCTAGAAATTTTTGGTGGTTACAAATGTAAAAGGCTGTAAAAGACTTTATTCAATCATGTGACATTTTTTCAAGGTCAAAAATTCATCATCATCGACCTTATGGACTTCTTCAACCATTATCTATTCTAAAACAACCATGGTCTTTTTTTTTCTATGAATTTTAATACGGATCTTTTAATCTCAGATTTGTGTGATTCTATATTTGTGATAGTAGATTATTTTTATGAAAATGACATATTTTGTATCATATATAAAATCTATCATAGGTGAAGGAATTTTCAAATTTTTTCTTAACAATATCTATCAATATTATAGATTATCAAAAGATATTATATTAGATAGGAAGACTCAATTTATATCAAGCTTATAAAAAATTCTTTTTAAGATTCTAAAGGTAGACATAAAGCTTTCTTTAGTCTTTCATTCTTAAATTGATGAACAGATAGAGTGCATAAATCAAGTTTTGGAACAATATTTAAAGTATACCATTAATTATCAATAAGACGATTAGAGATTTTTTTTTTACCATTGGTAGAGTTTGCTTATAATAATATAATGTATTCTTCTATGCATTTTTTTTTTTTTTTTTCTTTTTTTTTTTTTTTTTTTTACCAATTATGATTATCATCCACAACTTGATATTTTTGACTTTTCAAAAGTTGATAATCCTATGGCATAAGATTTGGCAACTCGTTTGTTTGAGCTATATGCAATAATAAGGGTGCAATTAAAAGAAGCTCAAGAATAAAAAAAGATCAATGTGGATGCCTATTAAAAGGAACAACCACATTTCAATGTAGGTGATAAGATATGATTACTTTGTCGTAACATCTAGACTACTTGTCCTTGTGATAAGTTAAACTATTGCATACTTGGACCTTTTCCTATTTGTAGAGAAATCAATCTAGTTGCTTATCAATTACATCTACCGGAGTCAATGAAGATGCATTTGTGTCTTCCATATATGTCTTCCATATAAGTCCCACCTCTTCTTATAGAAGTAGACAATAATGACAAGTTTGAAGTGGAAGAAGTTTTATTTTCAAGGCATCAACAAAATAAATTAAAATATCTTGTCCATTGGCATGGATATAATATTAATAAATACATATGGGAGCCAATAAAGAATCTTGTAAATGCAGCAAAGATGTTGGAGGCTTTTCATCAACAACATCCATCAAAAGTAAGATGAAGGATAACAAATCTTTACTTTAAATGTAACACAATTTAGCAAAGTTTGCATTCTACTTTCTATCTTTGTTTATAGTTTGTATATAATTATGGTATGAAGGAGATGAAAAACCAACAATCGACAAACTCAACTCAAGAGCCATCATTTGCTAACTTATCAGATGAGATATTGTGATTATCATAGTCTATAAGAGGATGTAATAGGAATGAAGATCTTTAAAAACAACATATTCTTCCTTGAATAGATCATAAGATATAATACGTTTGATATCACGACTTAGGAAAAGATTCTCAATGTTTGGTGATTTTATTGGAGGTAGGCACGATTCTTAATGGTATTACAAATATTTTGTTTGAAGAAAGTTATGAAGGTTTCAACAATGATCAAATCACAAGATGACTTCTCGTCTTAGAATGGGGCATTATATATTGCTGAGAGGACCTATCAACTACCTTCAAAGAAAACAAAGATCAGAGTATGTAACAAATATAATTTACCATATCTTAGACTTCTTCAATATATGATTTCCGCTTCTTGTGGAACTTGTCTCTAGAAGAGGGAATAATGTCATATATATATACCTACTATAATTATTACCTAGATAGGTAGAATTAGATAAAAGTAGATTAATTTCATTGTACTTTTTAGAAAAGCTTTCTAAAAGCTTTGTAGATGTTGTTTTCACTTTACATTTGTTTGTAGTTGATTGGTAGGTTAGAAAATTGGTTAACAAGCTATCCATATACCACATATATTAGTAGCTTACAGAATAAGCTAACTATGTGGCGAACATATAAAAAACATGCCTTGCAAGTCAAGATACATGTCATGCAAAGTTAACATGTTTTTGGAAGTTCTATAGAATGTTGCCACATAGATCCTAAGTAGATAGTATATATAGAGGCAAGAGTGAAGCCTTCTTCACTCTTATCAATTCTTTTCTTACTTCTAGTCTAGATTCAAGAATCTTTAGTTTCCTTGTCTTTTGGCAATAGCCATTCTAGTTTCCTTTTAATATACATACTACTTTACTTCCATTTACCACTTTTCTTTTGACACAAATTTTCCAAGTTTATGTATCTTCTTCCAATTCATGTCCTTGATAATTGGTAGTTGGCCATGTTACGGTTTGTATGGGCAGTGGTAGTAGAAAGGTTGACAATTAAGATATTGTTCAAACAAGTCACAAATGTTGAGTAGCCTAAGAAGAAGATCCGAAGATGAAAACAAAAATGGAGGGGAGATGGAAGGGAAAGTTGGAACAAAGAATGAGAGACATAAACATGAACAAGAGATTAGAAATAGGAGACTCAATTTGAGATGGATATAATCAATCATGAAAAAAGAAGGAGAGATGTGGCTTTAACAATATTGGGATGTGATTTTATCAATTTTTTATTTTTAATAAATAAATATATTATAAAATTATTATATCTTTAAATATTAATTTTAAAGATTTATTTATGTTTTTTTAAATAGTTATCTTTTTTTTAACTATATTAATTTTTTAATATAAAATATTTATAATACAAATAATATCTAAAATTTATTATTATTTAAATAATCAAATTATTTATTATAAAATCAATCATAAAATCCTAAGGTTGTTTTCAAAAATAAAATTTATAAGTTAGGTATAGATTTTTTAAAAATAAATATTAATAATAATTAACTATTTGTATATATTATTAATGGCATCTAAATTTGTTTAATAATGTTACAATAACTTTGATGGTATATCAAAGATAAATACTCGTGATTAATTTTAAAGTATTTTTTCAGAAAATTATTACAATTTTTAAAATAAACTACTGCATGCAAGGTAAAACTCTCAAATCATGTAACAAATTAAATTCATAAGAATTGTGAAGTTTATTTAATTTTTAATTTTAATCTCAAATTTTACAGTTGCAAAGTATGTATATATATATATATATATATTCTTATCACATATTTGTGTCAGTTTACATATTTGACATAAATAACTTCTATGGCATAATTATCCCATTCTTAATATAGAATTTACAAAAGAAGAAGATGATGTCTATTTGGATTTTATGTCATCCCTATACACTATTAAAAATTTGTTACTTTCTTTTCAACTTTATTTAGTGAAGTCAACTACATTGATTTTTGTCAACTTCTCTTCTAAATTTTCCTCTAAATTCTCATCTATATACATTATTTTTTATATTATTAATATCTGTATGTGTGTACTTTTTTTTTCATAGTTATTATTCTTAGTACTATGTAGTATTTGTAGAGCAGATTTATGTGATTGCTGGTTGCATTTTTTGAATTATGGTTTTGTATTGTATTGTGTATTATTATACAAGAATTACTTCCTTTGGCTCATTACTTTTAACAAAGCAAGGGTCTGTTATTCTAATACAATATTGTCTGTTATAGAATTTACTTCAGTACGATTTTTCAATGGATTTGAATATTTGAAAGATTTTCGTGTGGGACATGGCTTCCAAATGATTAAAAATAAAATAAAAAATAAAAAATCATGAAAAAAAAAGAATTGCATTTCTAATTTTTTTTGTTTCTTTTTTCCATCTCTCGTGTTTGTGTGTGTGAATATATATATATATATATATATATATATATAGATGTTCTTAATTTTAAATATGCAAAGTTTAAAATTAGAATGGATTTTGAAAACAAATGAATAAATGAATAATTAAATAAATGAATATATAAAAATGTAAATATGTAGAATATATAAATATTTATTTTAATTATTATTATGAAGAATATTATTTTTTAAGAAAATATTAATAGGACTAAAATCATAAAAAATATAATTAAGACAGAAGAAGTAAGAAGTGAAGGTATAATTGGTTATTTGATTTGAGTTTTTTTTATTATGAAGGGTATGAAATAGTTTTTGTGCATAATTTGACTTCATATTTTAATATTTTATTATATAATTATTTTCTCATCCTCTCAATTTTTCTTTGTCAAGTGGACTAAAATGGTGTTTAGAATGCAACCGTGGTCAATCCAGCACGGGGAACGGGGAAGGGCACCTAAGGCCGCGCAGCAGCCAAGCCCGTAGAGCGGGGGAGGCTAGGGAACGTGGGGAACGGGGGGTTAGGGTTTGGGGGAGGAGGAGAGCCCTAAAGTGTACCGGGGGATGCTTAGGCGCTTTCCTTTAGCAGCGAGGCCGTCGCGCAAGCCGCCACAGAGGATTGATTCAGTTAGTCCCTCCTCTTTTCTCCCCTCCCTGCTTCTGCTTTGCTCTCTGCGCCCTTGCCAAGCCCGCAACCATGGTGTTTCGCCGGTTTGTGGAGATCGGGAGAGTGGCCCTCATCAACTACGGCCCTCAGCATGGGAAGCTGGTCGTCATTGTGGATGTGATTGACCAGAACCGGGCTCTCATTGATTCCCCCGACATGGTCCGCACACAGATTAACTTTAAGCGCCTCTCGCTCACTGATATCACCATCCCCGAGCTCCCCCGTACTCCCCCGAAGAAGGTGCTTAAGAAGGCCTACGAGGATGCCGAGGTGGAGCAGAAGTGGGCCAACAGCGCCTGGGGCAAGAAGCTCGCTGTTCGTACCAAGAGGGCTAGTTTGACCGATTTCGACCGTTTCAAGGTCATGGTGGCGCGAGTCAAGAAGAGTTCCATTGTCCGCCGGGAGCTTGGAAAGTTGAGGAGGGGAAAGGCTTAAGTCGACTGAAAATCTGGTAAAAGGACTGCGTGTGGAAATGTTATACATTGTTTTCGTTTTGCTGGTCTGAAAATTGCTACTGACCCTTTTCGATTAGGGTTGTAAGCTTGTCTTTTAGGGTTTTACTGTTAGTTCCGAACTTAAAAAGTTTCGAAATGGTAATCCAACCTCGTAAATCACTTTTTAGGGTTATATTCCATGAACTACGATTCTTACGTGGTATGTGGGAAGCAACATTGAATATCTTAATTTGCTTGGTTGGAGACCCTCGGCGCCATGCCGTGGCGATTAATTTGTAGGTGCGGTGTATGTCTGATCTCATCTAAATTCAGAGCTTCGTGTTGGAAGGAGCTCGCTATTAAGATTAATATATGGTACAAGAATGCAGATTTCCGTTATGCTGGGTTGCATGGATTCGTTGCATTAGATGGATTAACGCGCTAGGATCGAATTTTTAGGCGTAATTTTCGGTTGGCCTCTCTCTCTTAACTTTAATACTGTAGAAAGTCAAATAATTTGGTATTTCGCTTTTGATATCCTCGTCTTTTTCATCACGGGGCAAGAACACTTTATGCACATCTTTAAACGAGCCCTTCACTCGTAGTTCTTTATTCGAATTGTTTTGATTCTGCAATGTTCGAATCATGTCAAATATATTGAATTCTTGCAGATCCGGGTGTTTTGTAGAGATTCGTAGTTTCTTTGACGAGAATTTCCTAGTTCCTGCAGATGTAGTTGCACAATCTTTAAATTGTCTCACCATAACATGTAAGTCGTTTACTGGTTTGTGTGGCAGGATGCAAACGTCAAGGATATTTACCTGGTTTTTAGTCACTAGTAATAGTGTCATCATGCTCTGCTGCAGCCAACAGTTGTTTAATGAGAAGCAGGTCTTGTTTCAGTGTTTCCTCTTATAAAATTTTGTTCAATTGAGCGTGTTCGTTGTTCCAGTTCAAGGCCCTGGTCATGATATTTTACTTTTCATGATAATTTTACCGCATTAATGTTGTCTTTCACATCATATCGTTGGGATTTTTGTCTACTTGTGATCGAGACGGTTGCTGATGACATCGTAATGATGCAAGACCAATTCAATTCGGTTTCAGTATGTTTGAATGTGGAAGTTGGCTTTACTCTGTAGTATCGGAGGCAATGAGTTTCTGGATGGGTACGCGTTGTAACTCACTTTTAATATTAGCAGAAGTCGTTCCCGTTATGTTGAGTTTTGGCCATGTAGGTTATAGTTAGGACTGCGGAAGACACATTTTGGGCAACGTTCCATAATGCATCTAGGCTCATTGCTTATCTGTTATTGATCACATGCTTGAATAGTCGTTTAGTACCTGTCTTCAGTGACTAAGTTATGGCTATGTGATGCTTAAAGTTTTACGAATGCCTTAACTATATTAGTCCAACAAGATATTGTCGTGAAGATGACGAAACATGGTGCCCATTCCAGTCAGCGGTTCGCTTTCTGTTTAAAATGATGCTTCATTTCTCGGCTTGTAAGATTGTTAGCGGAGTTGCAGTTTCAGTCGGATTTCGGATATTCAGTGCTGCGTTCGTGCTCTGAATTTCAGAAGTTGTATGCAAAGTTACAAGTAACCATCATTTCTCACTGGTTCATTTGTCAAGGTGGGGCTCCCCATATTCTGTAACCATTGCGCAGCTTTCAACGTATGTGTCCGACTCCTCGAAGCCATTTATATCTCTTACCGCGGCTTATCTCAACGATGTCGACGCATTGCAGATAACAGTAATTCCCGACCATGATAAGTGTCCATTGAGTGATCTGGGATGTTCGCTTGCCGTTGTAGATCTACAGCCTTTGTGAATAACCCATGTCATTCTTGTGTGCCATAGTGGCGCATCCTGAACGCTTTCTGTCCCTGCTAGATTGCAGTATTGTCCATGTTTTCTTTTAAATCGTGTGTGCCTGTGAATTTCTCAATATCAAACTCCTCGCGAAAGTGTGGTGATGAGTGAAAATTCGTTACTTCCAAGGCCCTATTGCTCTCCTACTACATGCTTAGGAAATTGATTTTTATATTGCATTCGGGCTTGCAAATTACGAATGTAGTAGTTAAACCAAATTTAACAAATGACTTGAGCAACCGAAATAATGTAATGACTTAGGTTTCTTGTCTACTCTCCGAATCTCAAATATGTGATGAATTGTCTCCAGGAGGTTACTAAGTACCATCTTGGTACTAACACAAGCACATGTTTCACAGAAATTTTATTAAATGCGCTGATCTTACTGTTTTGTGTAAATAAGTTCAAGTGCGGAATTCAAAATTTAGAATTTCACACACTAATAAACCTGAATATGAATATTTATATATATATATATATATATATATAAACACACATTTATGTAATTACAAAGATAATTTATATATATAAATACACCAAGGTATTTACATGGTAGGCTAGCAACCAAACATTCAAATCAAGTGTGGCCACTTTCACCATTTTTGAGGACAAAGGAACATAGCTGCCAAATGGCTTCAAGGTTGGTGCCACCAATGGCCATGTTCTAATGTTTCTCACAAGACATTGACATTGATCTCACAAAAGCATGATAGTAGCTCCTTTCTTCTCACCACATACAAAACCATAAAGACCAATTGGTACAACTGCCAATTTAGAATGAATAGAATCATCAATAAGAAGATGACAAGGATCATAATTCTTTGAATACTTGTACCACTCTTATTCATCTTTATCTTCGAAGAATAAAATACGACTAAGAAACATATCCTTCATATGTAAAATTATGTGCTTTACTTTAACATCAAGTATTGTAGGCACTTCATGTTGCAAATACACATATTCTCTTTTAAAGAATCTCTACAACTGAGATCAATAAGCTCTACTATAAATGTGAGCATATTATACAGTGTTGCAATTTTGAGCAATAGATAAGTTCTTTACAGCCATAGACATGGCTTTCTAAAAGAACTCTACTTGATTGTGTAGATATTGAATCTAAACATTTAGATCATCTAAGTCTATAGCTAAAGCTAGTTTTTTATATATTGAATTGGATAGGATTAGCTTTTATTTATACAACAACTTGTGAAGACTATAAGATGCCAAAGATACTTCTTTATTGAAGCAATATTCCTTTGTAATCCGTAGTAATATCAAATCTCAATTACAATGGTTGACATGAAGTAATCTATACTTTTCTAAACCATGCTTGATAATTTGAATAATTTGTTTAGCTAAGCCAATTACTTCATGATGACTTCTGGAGGTTGTACAATAATCTATTAAAGCTTTAGTATATAAAGCTTGAAATGCTCCAAAGAACTTTCTTCTTTTATTTGTTAAGACTTCAACAAGTGTTCCAAAATATACCAATATACAATAAAAAAAAAAAGCTTTAGTTGCCAATTCTAAAGAATTTTGTACTAAAGCTACAAATTCAATCTACTTCTTAAAATATTCTATTATTATTAATACATATTTATCTCTATGTAATGTAACAATAAGTACTCTGACAAAGTCCATAGACCAATAATAATCCAAATCTATGATAGGTGAAAGCTTCAATTGAGATAATAAAGTATTAAAGCTTAATCTAACTTGATTACATAGTTCATATTAAGAAACATATGTTGCTACTTGTTGTTATATATTACTCTATCAATATTGGTTGTATAATATATAAAGTGTCTTATATATTTCAAAATGTCCAAGCTCTTCATGTACTTGCCATACTAAGGAGGCTCTTTGATCTGATCTTAGAACTATATGGTTAGCTTTATCACGCCATATATAAAATAACAAATTATTCTGTCAACAAAATCTTATTATTTAGTCATTAATCTTATCTCTTTTTATATTAGAGATAGCTAAGGAAAATGTTCCTTATTGAAGCTTATGCAAAATTATAAGATCTTTCCATACTTCATTAATCACTTAATTTTTGTCTAATTCTTCATCTGAATTTTAATCAAGAACCAAAGTTGTAGAGCTTGACATTAAAGTTAAGTTTGTAGCTATATGCCATCTAGACACTCATCTATTATAATCTCCATGCCACCAAGCTTTGATTAAGTCTTCTTTTGAAGGACTTGAACTATGAAAAAGATAGTCCATATCCAAATTGATAATGCTTGCATGATGCACAATCTCAAAGTCGTATTTTTGAAGCAACAAAGCCCATGTTGCAAGCTTGCCAGTAAGCTAAAATGACTCCATAAGCCACTTCAAAGATTGATGGTTAGTTACCAATATAAATTGTTGATCATACAAACAAGGTTAAAAGTGAGTAATAGTCCGAACTACTGCCAAAGCTTCTTTTTTATAAGATGAGTAATTAGACTTCACATTTTTATTGCTTCTAGAAGCAAATGCAATGATATATTTTCCTCCTATACCATCTTTTTAAATTAAGACTGCTTCCAATCCTATTGCACTTTGATCCATATATGATTAAAAAGATCTAATAGAATCCAAATGTCAAAGCATTAAATCTAAATCCAACTTTTGTTTCAATGTGTCAAATATATTTTGTTGCTGACAGTCTCAAATCTATAGTTGATCCTTGCCTATGAAAATAACTAAAGACTTAATAATTAATTTAAAGTTTTTATCAAACCTTCAATAGTAATTTGTCAACTCTAAAAAAGTTTGAAGTCATAAAACATCACTTGATGCTAAGATTTTCTATAGAGCATCTACCTTTGTTTACCATATACTAAGATCTCATAGAATAATCATGTGACCTAAGTATGATAATTATTTACAAAAGAATTTATATTTTTTTATGATCCAAGGATAATCTCTATTATCATAATTATTCAAATATTATTTGTAAATACTTTACATGATCTTATAGACTATAACTAAAAATAATAATATCATCAATGTAGCATTTAATAAATGACAATTTGGATAAAATTTGATTTATTATTCATTAAAATTCAACTAGTGTATTTTAAAGATCAAATAGAAGAAACTTTTAACAATAGTATTAATTTTTTTTATCTTGATTAATTTTCTAAAATATTTTCTTTATCTAGTCTTCAATAAGTAATAGCAATTGGTAATAAATAGATCTTAAATCCAAAGTATTGAATACTCAAGAAAATCCTACTGCATCAAATAATTCTTTTAACATTAATATTAGATCTCCATCAAGTTCAATTTTATAATTAATTTAATAATAATAACCATATATCTACTTCTTTATCCAATTATCAAAAACATCATTTTTTGAAGACATAACTACTGCACAAGCATATTATCCATTAAAAAGCTTAATCAAGTTAAGAGCCAATAATTCCAGATAATGAAAATAGACACTAGCTTTCTTTGAGACACTAAACTTATAAGGTCTATAGAATAGGTAAATAAACTTTGTGATAAGTTACTGATTGGTTATTGACAACCTTAAGAATTAGACTGTTGGTTAGGCAATTTAGCTAGTAATAGTAGGTTGTTAGTAGAATAAATGGTTAAGAATTCAAAGGGTCATAACTTTTGGAATCTGTTGGCCGACGGATCATCTTTTTGGTAGGATAAATAGGTTGAGGAAAGAAAGATCGAGGGCCAGACTTAGAATCGTAAGCCGAGAGCCAAACTAAGAGTCGTAAGCTGAGAGCCAAATTGAGAGTTGTAAGCTAAGAGCCAGACTGAGAGTCGTAAGCCGAGAGCCAAATTGAGAGTTGTAAGCCGAGAGCCAGACTGAGAGTCATAAGCCAAAGTAAGCTTGGTGCTACCTCTTTATTTTCTTTATTATTTGTTTATGAAGAATGGTGATTGAAAGAAGTATTGTTGAATTGATAATTGTAGAATGGATTATGGGTTGAATTAAGACGGAAGTAGTAAGCCTCGGTGTTTTGTAGTTTGATACTTAATTTCAGATAGCCAAAATATAGTCAATTGTAACACTAACAGATCCAATTTATATAACCAATCTTTTTCCATATTCGAACCGACCTCTATTAGTTCAATTGCTTTGGTCTACTGAAGCT